AATCCCCCCGGGGAGCGGGCTTAAGCTAGCAGGTGGTCATCCCCCGAGGGGTCCCAGACTGCAAGAGGGCACAGGCCGGGCTGATGGACCCTCCCGAGTGCACAAATTTTTGTGCACCGGGCCTCTAGTAGCACAATAAAGCTATTGGAAAAACTCTCTACAAGAAAACTCCAAGCCCATGTGGTTTCAGTTATAAATTATACCAAATACTTAAGAAATGATTTCAATTTTATACAAACCTTAGAAAATATAAGAGGATGGAATACTTCCCAACTCATTTTGAGACCAATATAATTCTAATATCAACAGCTAACAAAAACTTGGCTAATAAATGTTATAAACTAACATCACTCATGAACATAGATACAAAAGCCCTTAGCAATTTATTAGCATATTGAATTTTGAGGTATATAAAAAGGATCATATATCATGACCAAGAAGTAGGGTCTATCTCAAAAATACAAGATTGATTTACTACTAGATAATTCAATATACTCTACCATATAATAGGATATATACTGTATCACTCCATTTATACAAGCTAATTCTACAACAGGCAAAATGAATCTATTACAAAAATCTAAATCTACTGTAAAATAAAAATCAGAACAATAATTGCCTGGTATGGACAAGAGACTGCTGGCACAGGACAGTAGGAAACTTTCTGAAGACATGGAAATGCTCTACATTGTACTGGGTTGTGAATTTTACATAATGTACATGACTGCATTTGTTGCATTTCAATATATGTAAATTCTACCCCCCAAACTTTAAAGAGTAACAAGTGAAAAGATGGGGAATGGATAGAAGTACATGAAACAAGAATGAATCAATATTGGTAAGTTTGAAGTTGGATAATGAATGGGTCCATGGGAGTTCAATATACTACTCTTTTATGTTGTTGTTGTTTTATTTTAATTTATATAATAAAAAGTAAAAACAAAACACAGAAGTTTTGAGAACAAGTTAAATGAGTCAAAATGTTTTATAGTTCCCCACCACCAAAAAGAAAAGTTACGGTAATTTCCTGTAGCATTTAACTAGTGAGTACAATGAATGGTTATTCCCTATACTTTGTGTTAAAGCAAAGAAAATGGTTAATAAGGGCTTGCTATTATGTACCCTATCAAGAACTAGGAAAATGTACTAGGAATGAGAACTCTCAAGAACTTAATAGCTTGCTTTTAATACGTGAAACACTATCACTACCAAGTTTTTCAGCTGAGAGGCATAAACAGGAATGGAGGTGAGGATGGTGGAACTTTCAGAAAAAGTTTTAAGCTCTTATGATAAAGAAAAACTTTAACAATGTTGATCTCCAAAAAACATAAGGGCTGCCTCTGGAGATAGTGCCCCTATTCATGGAGATGTTCAAATATAAGTTGGAGATTTATACATTGGCAACAACCACTAGAAGAAAACAGATATTATTAAGTTTCCTTCTAGCAGAGGTTTTATAGGTCTTTGAACTACTTCCTCTTATAATTTTTTTCACTTCCTCTTATTTTAGTCTAGATTGAAAGAGAGAAGCACAAGGTTTTGTGGAAAATTTTTAAAAAGAGCAGTGGGAGATCAGGGGGTTACATTAAGGGTATGAACTTACAACCAGTAGATAAATAAGTCCTATAGATCTAATGCACAGCATAGTGATTATGGACAACACTAATCCTGTATAATAAAAGCCTAATATGCAAATTGTCCCCACAGGAGTTCAACTGGGAGCTCACTATGACATGTGCTGACCACAAGGAGGCGGCGCAGAATGAAGGCACCAGCGGGCAGTTGGAAGGAAGGCCTCGATCGGCCCTGATTGCCGGCCAGACCTAGGGACCTACTTGTGTACCAGGCCTCTAGTGTATTATAAACTTAAAAGTTACTAAGAGACTAAGAAAATAAAACAATTCAGCCAGAATGCAGTGTCATGATAAAAACTACCCACTACAAACCACAAACTTAATATTTTGACACATATGGTTGAACATTATGCATAGAAATTTTTGGAAGTTACCACATAAATGAGTGGTCTTAGATTACTGGGCTGAACTGAACATTTCTAGGTTAATATTTACTGAGAAAGCAATACGATAAACTGTAAAACCAATCACAAAATGCAGCCCTGCTCCAGTACTGTATCTCTTTTCTTCAAAGAAGAATAATTGTTGTGGGCCCTCCCTCTGAGCTAAGTACTGTGGAGGAATCAAAGTGATTTGAGGTTTTTTGGTGAGCAGGGTGCAAGGGTGATTTCCTTATCCAGACAGATTCGAAGAAAGAAGCAAAGGACAAAAGGTGGTAGATGAGAAGTACAGAAACTTTATTGCAAGTAGATACTACCTCTTAAATTTCTAATTCTAAGACTCTGTCTCTCTTTGTCTTGAGGTATCAAATATTCTAGAAACCACCCTTTCCCTTATTGTGCCTTTCCCACTGTGGGACTTCAGCCTTGTAATCAGTTCCAAGGACCCCTAAGTCCACTTCTCCTTTTTGGTCATCTTATCTGTTCAGGTTGGAGTTGCTTTTGATCTCCCTTATGGCTTTCCCAGCTGCTCAGGTCAGGGCTGCTTTAGATCTAACTCATGGTTGCTTTAATTGCTCAGGCCAGAAATGCCTCCATCCTTCCCTCCCTCCCACTTCCTGTCTTAAGCTAGCTAACCCTTATCAAAAGCATAGGACACGAACATTATCCTAAGGAACCTTACAATTTAACTACAAAGGCAAGACATGCCTGAAAAATAAGCCAGCATCACATAGCAGTACTTGATCAAGTTACAGAAGAGACGACAGATAAGTCGTCCAGAGAAAAGGAAAGAGCATTCTGCTGGGGTTGGTTTCAGGAGGCTGCCTTGAGATAAGAGAACTTAAACTGAGACTGAAAGAATTTAGAGAGGAAGAAAAATGGAGTGTGAAGGAGGCAGGTACTTCCAGGGCGGGAGAACAGGATAAAGCAAGCAATGTGATGAGGTAACTTGAAAATAAACCTGGATTTTTGTCTCCACAGAACCCCCAATATCCCTCCGATTCTCTAATCAATTCCTTCCCAAACGTTTAGGGTTTCCCGAAGTGTGGTCAATGCACAAGCAGTACCATCAACTCTCTGGGAACTTGAGCTGCAAATACTGGGGACCCATCCCGGACTCGATGACTTAGAAAGTGGGGCAGTTGGGCAGCAATCTGTTTTAACAAGCCCTTCAGGTGGTTCTGAGGCATGCTCAAGTTTGAAAACCACCCCTCCAGGACTACCTTATACGCACAGCTCTCCGCACAGGAACGTGATGCTCCAAGTGCCTAAGTCAACCACTTCGCTGGGCACAGGAAGGGAGCTGATAGCAAGGCCCAACCCGGTCACAGTTCGCTTCCTGCTCCCGTACACCCTGTTCCAGCCACTCTCTATGCCACTGCCTCCCGTATTACTTTACCCTCACCAGGCCTGCCCCCGCTCCTCCGCCACCCTACCTCAGTGTCAGAGGGGACGTGGTGCCGGCAGGGAAGCGCACTGCTCAAGGACACAGGAATAGACGTAGCACTTGTCCGGAGCCCGCCCAACAGGAGCAAAATGCCTCGGACCCATAAAGAACCGCTCCAAAGCCACCGACTTGGGCCCCGACCTGAACCCGAGGACCCTCCTCTACCCCATTCGGGCGCCATCTTTGAACTGAGCGTCGTTGCCATGGAGTACTTGACGCTTTCACGCCGGCCCCGCCCCTCAACGCTCAGGGCAGATGGAGGGGCCAGCTGGCGGAAAGTTGCTTTTCGATTGGCTGGCGTCACCCGGAAGCTCACCACGAACACGAACTGTCTCATTGCGGGAAGCCAACCATTAAATGCCGCACAGCGGCTAATTAGTGACATTGATGGCAATTATGGTGGTCTATGGGTCTCTACTGAGGTAGTTTTGTTTTTGTTTTAAATATATTTTATTGATTTTTTACAGAGAGGAAAGGAGAGAGTTAGAAACATCGATGAGAGAGAGACATTGATCAGCTGCCTCCTGCATATCCCCCACTGGGGAAGTGCACGCAACCCAGGTACATGCCCTTGACCGGAATCGAACCTGGGACCCTTCAGTCTGCAGGCCAACGCTCTATCCACTGAGCCAAACCGGTTTCGGCGTAGTTTTTATCTTTAATTCAGTTAACCACGTAAGATATGCACACACTAGATGCCAAGGGGCTTAGACAAAGAGCTGCAGAATTCTTCATGGTGTGGTCCTCTACAAAAGGTGAATGGAATATAATTTTTAATGCATCTTTATTGACTTCAGAGATGGAAACATCTGAGAATCATTGATCGGCTGCCTCCTGCACGCCCCCCATCAGGCGTGGAGCCCGCAACCTGGGCATGTGCCCTGACCACAATCAACTACTGAGCCACGCTGGCCGGCTTCTTGTTTACTGATCATGAGTCACCAATTGCAGGCCCATTTCTTCTAAAAGTCATTCCCTATAAAGCCAACCATGTGTCTGTCCTTTACTATTCAACCCTTTCCCTTATTTTACTTTTTAAATATATTTCACTCATTCTTTACAGAGAGGGAGAGGGACAGAGTTAGAAGCATTGGTGATAGAAAGACCCATCAGCTGCCTCCTGCACGCCCCCTACTGGGGATGTGCCCACAACCAAGGTACATGCTCCTGACCTGAATCAAACCCGTGGCCCTTGAGTCCGCAGGCCAACGCTCTATCCACTGAGCCAAACCAGTTAGGGCACCCTTAACTTATTTCAAACCCAAGAACTGGCCCAGCTTGCCTGGCTCAGTGGTTGAGGAATGACCTTTATGAACCAGGTCACCAGAAGGTCAATTTGATTCTGGGTCTGAGCACATGCTCCGGTTGCAGACACGCAGAAGGCAGCAGATCAATGATTATCTCATCATTTGTTTCTTCCTCTCTGAAATCAATAGAAATATATTTAAAAAAATAATAAAGAAGAATTGCAACTAATATTAACTCAGTAAGAGATTGGGTGAATCCTTGCCATTAAGAAAACTACCTTCAAAACTGAAGTGAGGAACTACAAAAAAATTTGAAAAATCAGGATAAACCTGTAGCACATGAAACAAAGAAAACTAGGTATTGGAAGCACTTAACTGGAACATTCAACAGGAAGTGGATATTGTAAATTACTATAGTTGCAAGTGTAGGGGCAGGAATACAAAATCCCTAAGAATTTGTATTTCATTGGTGAAGATCATGTACTCAAATAATAAAATAATAACAGTAGTGTCATGGTGGGGAGAGTCTGTTTCAGTAGTTTAGTGGAAAAGCTACTAGCAGCAGCCGCAGGTGAACTACAGCCCGTGGGCTGGATTTGGCCCGTTTGTAATGAATAAAACAAACAAACAAAAAGACTGTACCCTTTTATGTATGTTTACTTTGAATTTATATTAGTTCACACAAACACTCCATCCATGCTTTTGTTCCGGCCCTCCGGTCCAGTTTAAGACCCATTGTGGCCCTCGAGTCAAAAAGTTTGCCCACCCCTGACTAGCCACTGAAGTTCATTTCTGTTTAATGTTGGAGTCATGCAATGGTAACTCTGGCTTGAAGACTACTTTTGCACAGACAGAACCTTATATGGGAACAGAAAAGTGCAGACACTCTCATTGTGAAATGATGCATTATATCAGTCAAGAATGAATTTGCATGAATGGCTACTTTGCAAATACATTTCCTTAAGTCATCCCAAGGATTGTCAGCCTTCTCTTCCCTGCTTTGCTCAAATGCCTACCACTTCTTGTGTATGCACCCCCATTGCTCTACCATCACCTATCCCACTCAGAATACCACATTCACTTGACTCCTACACAAAGGTGATAAGCAGAGAGAAACATCCGATTTGTTGTTCCTGTTATTTATGCATCCAGATTCATTCTTATATGTGCCCTGACTAGGGATTGAACCCACAACCTTGGCATATAGTTACAAGGCACTAACCAAATGAGCTACCAGGGCCACACTATTTCTTTTCCTTTCCTCTCCATGACTAACACAAACCTGAATAGCCATCTGTCTTCCTGGACATATTCAGTTACGTAACCCACTCTCCTCAAACTCAACTCCCGGACCTCTGCAAAAAACAACACACACATCTGGTGCCCCAACTTTGTAAATGCATTACCAACCCAGCAAACATAGGTGGAGACATGTTGTCCATGAATATTCCTCTCTACTTGGTTCTTAATATGTTAGTTTATGGAGTCCGCTCTAATTCAGTGCTCAAAAAACTCAGTTAAGACTAATCCCGAGAAACCAAGACGGCGGCATAGGTAAACACCGGAAATTGCTCCCTCTCACAACTTCAAAAATACAACTAAAAGACAAAACAGACATCATCCAAAACCACAGGAAGGCTGGCCGAGTGGAAATTCTACAACTAGAAGGGAAGAGAAAAGCACATGGAGACTCAGAGGAGGTGCTGTGTGGAAGTAAAGTGCAGAGATACGGAGGCGCACGCAGAGAGGGCTAGCAGCTGAGAATGCAGCGCATATGGAAAGGGCTGGAAACTGAGGGCACGGTTGTCTTGTCTTTTTCAATTGGAAGGAAGTCTCAAGCTCCTGACTGCTCTGAACTCCAGTTCCGGGAGAGTCTCTGGGGACCCAGGCTCATACAGAAGAAACTGGACTGTCTAGCATTGGTCGGAACTCGAGGGTGGCTTTCTCTCAGAGGTACTTGCAGCAATTACCAGGACACTGAGAAGCGGAGCCTCTTAGGGTAGGACTGAGGAGCAGCCATAGCTGCTTGCTCCACCCTGTTGATCCCCAGAGACCCCGCAGCACCCAAACTGTGCTCAGAGGCTTTTGCATATGAATGGCCTGGCCCTTTGCAATCTGAAAATTACCTAACAAACTGCAGTCAGAGAAACCCAGAACTCCAAAAGAAGGCCCAAGGCCCCA